TCTTCCATGCTTTCTCTCCTAATGAGCTATCATCTTTTCAGACGACATTCTCTATACAGATCTTAATGCATTTAAGATGCGCCATCAGGAATTGAGAGATAACACATCTTTTTGAAACATGCCGAGAAAATAGGGATTTTATGGGTTTTGCTGATTCCTCATCATACATTTCCATTTCTTTGTGCTTCTCATCCACTCAAAAATGAAAGTCACACACCTATAAAACAAAATATCTTAAAATTAAATTGTTGTGTTACAATAGTTCCATGTATGTTATATTTGAAACAGAAGTCAAGGAGCCCTATGATTTAAATGAGTACTTTTGATAACTATATATCAATTACAATGCCATTTTAAAATTAACTTGTCGTAATAATAGTTACGTGTATGTAAACATTTAGAAAGAAGTCGTAACCCTATGATTTAAACGAGTACTTAGATAACTAATCCGTTAAATGCTTGATTTTAATCATATAATTGTTTAAGTATTGTAATGTTTAGAAATCTCATCATGATGATTACAATTTATTTAGATTTAAAGAATTTATACATTGGCAACTAATTAGGAGTATCAAACCTGAGTGTCGACTATCAGTTACTTTAAATACATTGATCCAAACATATAATCAATATGAAAATTTTAAATGAAACCTAATATTATTTTAGCTCCTTTTTTTGGCATAAATTGGCTTTTATATAACTACTACATCGAGAATTCTTCCTGTTAAGTGAAATTTTATTTCATTCACATTTTTTCTGTACCCAAATAAGAAATAAGAGAAAGTTAATATTACAATTTTCATGATTAAAATTCTTAGCTTTGAAGGAAAATATTTCTTTGAAGTTATTACAATTGGAGACTTAACCATAAATTTTCTTGACAAAAAAACTGAAATTTAATAACGAAAACAAATACCACAAACGTATCAATAAAATTAATAAAAAAACTAGTAAAGACTTAAAAAAACATAAAAAATGCAACAAAATCTAACTTACTTTTTATCCTTAGTAGCCATCTTTGCTTTGCAGACTTCTTGTCTATTTATTTCTGCTTGTTTAAGTTCACTTCGAAGGTTCAAAAAGATCTTTTGGATCATTTTCACAACATGTCACTGCAGCACATGTCGTATTTAATCCAATGGAATTACGAAAGTATAACATCGCGAGTGCAATTAATATAAAAATTCAAAAGATTCGCCAGACGTTCATCGCTTCGGCCAGTACTACGGGGCTTTGAACTTGTTGGGAAGGAGCGAAGTTCGTCAGACGACTGCCTGTGACGTCAGAGCTTCCTCTCGCTTCAGTGTCCTGGCTTCCTTCTGTAAGGAGGTGTTGGTTTTCCCCAGCTTAGTGACGTCATGGTTGTATTTCTACTCAACGCAATAATGTGATTTTGCTTGAAAGGTATCGCTGGCATGGTGGTTTGGGCAATCGCCTTCCATACTAAAGGTTGTGGGTTTGAATCCCGCTCGTGGAGTTATTTTTAAAATTCAGGGAAATTAATATTAAATTCAATAAATTTTATTAAAGGTAATAATTAAAATAATGACGTACTAAATAATTAAAATACTTATTTAAAAAGAGTAAATAAGTAAAATTAATGACATACAAAATAGTATTAATATTAATCAAATATCAAACTAATATTAATCACGTGTCAAATAAGTAAAAAATAATAAATTAAGAGAGATGTCATTCCAAACACGTGGTTCAAAAGTTCGTTGCCACAAAACCTGAAAATATATATTCGATGCCACAAAAAAAACTATGAAAACATAAAATCGTTGCCACAAAAGAAAAACGAAACTTTGATGACGTCATTCCGTCAATGTCATCCCATCCGTCTACCGGTTGTCACGTGTCCCAAGATGGCGGAGACCACGCCCCCGTTACGTCATCCATTGTTCTATTACGTCATGGCGGCATCCTTTGGCCGCACGAGTACCCCTGCTTACTACTGTCATGTAACAAAGGTGAAACTTAATAATTGAATTTGGCTATTCAAGTGCGTTGCATTTCTCTAAAAGAAATATATGAAATGACCTCATAGTATAGCTTATATTGAAATGCATACAAAATTAAAGCAAATTTCGACTATTCCGTACTCTGTCGCATTTTGAGCAAAGAACCTTTTGTTTCTTTGCTTGGAAATACATCCCAGCATGTCACAATCATTTCTAGGTTTCTAATTTCTAACTTCGCTGTTCTCCTGTCTTAAGATGATTCTAATAATTCAACGTTGCTGTTCGAAACGACGTTTCTTTTACGTTACGAAGCTACCGAAAGAGCACTCTTCGTTTGTTTCCAACAATGTCGTGAACGCTGAATAAAATCCATACATTTCCATAGATATTGCTCTGAAGATGACTAGATAACAAGCGTTTACGTTTAAACATAACTTGTAAGGATCATAAGTTTTACTAACGTTTATTTTATTTTAAATCTTTACTATCACTTCTTATTTTCTACTTCCGGCCAGAATTATAAGCGTTAAGGATTTTATGCAAAGTTTGTCTGGCGAACGCCAAGTATTTAAGTGTGGCCTTTTTGCCAAGCAAAGAGAGGAAGCAGTGAGTTCGAAGCAGGCCGCTTACCTTAGAAGTTACGCAGTTGCTATTTGCCTTCCAGGCCAGAGGTATTAATCCTCGTGATAAATTAAACGTATTGTAGTGTTCACAGTCTCTGTGCTACATACGCTTCCTGTTATTATAAGGCCAATCTTATTCTAAAGTTAAATTAGAGTTTAGTTTATTTTTGATATCTTTTACGTTAGACCCCGAGTGGAGGGTCATTGTATTCCGAAGTACGGAAGTCATTGTATATAAAGAAAAATAAAGGGTTTGTATACCCTTCGTCGTATCCTGTCTACTTACTACAATTAGTGACATAGCTTTAGTAAGCTCTCTGTTCCTAGTCAAGTCCTTGTATGTTTCCGAAGAAGGTAGAAGAAGAAACATTGAACCTGATAGTGGCGCCCAACGTAGAAGAATAACCATGGCCGAGTTTCAAGAAGAACCTGTGCTGCCTGCAGAAGCGGCTCAGAATCCAGAAATGCCAGCTGCCGCCCTGGAAGGATTTGGGTACATCGTCCAGACCATGCGCGCTTCGATGAAACCAGAAAGCAACATTTAATGGAAAACTCACCGGTAACCAGTTTTTTGGAAAAATTGGATGACCACTTCATGCTCTACCCCGGGCACGAGTTTCAAAAAGTTACCTTAGCTACCAGCGCTTGAGGGGCCAAGCGCTTAACTGGTTCAATGTATCGGCAGAAGTCTCTTGGTCAAGCAGGAAGTCCCACCTATACTTACGAAAATTTCAAGACTGCCCTACTAAAAGCCTTCCCTGTTGTAAGGGATCGTGCGAAATTAGAAACGAAACTTTTCAGTATATATCAACAAACGAATGGAAAACCTCTCGAGCTTTATTTTAAGAAAAATTCACGTTTTCAAGCTCTTGTATGGAAACCGTCCGGATCCTGAAATAATTCAATGATTTTGCCGAGGTTACTACCCCAAGTGCAAGACTTATTGAATTACGAAATCCGACTACACTGGAAAAGTTATTTGAGCTAGCAATCCAGTTTGAAAGTAGAAGAACGGCGGACGTGAAAGAAGACGCCAATATCAACAACGAAACCAATTTGGTACGCCAAGACACAGCAAAGTCAAGCACACGGCTACGGAGAAAAGCGAATCAGTGGGCAAGGAAACCGAGCATCCAAAAACAGCCGGCGAACGTCGACAGTTCAATAGCAACCCAGGAAAAAAGTCTCAAGGCCAGTGGAAAAAGAAGGAAAGCATGGAAGAAAAAAGGAATTATTTAACTAAAACGGATTTCTGCTGACGAGAGGGTGCGGAAATCCGAAAGGCAAGAAAACCCTCTTCCTACAAGTTAAATACAGTAATGGTGAAAAATTTAACTCTTCCGAAGATTGAAGTCGGGTAAATAATATCCCGGGCACCGCACTCCTGGATACCAGCGCGCAGGTTCCTGTGTGCCAGAAGTCTTTTTTAGAAAGTATTTTCGCAAATACCGCATATATAATGCGGATAAACGACAGTATTAGCGGCGCAGGAAAGATGTAAGTGCGTAGGTAAAGTACCTTTATATATCGTATCAAGGACGAACAAGTAAAGGTGATGTTTTTTACAGTAAAGAATTTGCAAGCACATTTAATCCTAGGAATAGACTTCTTTCAGACGCAAAGCTACACTGGATTTTAATGAGCTCCCTTAGGCTGACAATGAAACCAGTGCGTGTAGAAAAGGTTAACCTCAGGTTATCTTGACCACTGCCTAATGAGAGCAAGATAAATCCGACAAGTGGCGTACTTTCTTTTTTAGGGTATTTTGGTAGTTTGAGTTACAATATTGAATTCATACTGTATTTTCTGAGGAAACAGTCGTACTTACACATTTTAAAACCTTTTCTGATAACCGGCATTTTCACAAACTCGGCCGCCCTTTCGTTCACATTAGGCCGAGCTTTCGGGACTCTACTGTATATAGTACGGCCTTGAAGCAGTTTTAAGAACTGTAGCCAACACTAAAATGACTCGATTACTGCTCATCATAATGTCGCCAAATCCGATGTGTACCGTGTATTAGAACTGGGTATATAAACCCAGTTTAGTTATTTTAAATGTGTACCATAAAGAAAAAAAATTCGAATTTGTTGTGATTCAAAAGCAGTTAATAAAAACGGGTTATTAGTAATAACACAACCACCTTGGCTCAGTTTAGCGATTTTTTAAAGTAATAAAGGTGACTCGGTGAGTTTTCAATTTGTAATTTACAATGGATATGGTTACCTAAAGAATTCTTATGCGCATGGTTGCCAAAGTTTGGCAACTTCTGAAAATTTTGCGACTTCTACTAAGGTGGTTGCGATAAGACGTAAGAAGCGAAAAACGAATCAGATATATGTCACAAAATAAAATAAAAAAAATCCTTGGATATGTTGTGATTCAAAAATAGTTAGGAAAAAAACGAAACAAATTCGAAACTGTATTGTAATTTATTTGAAACATGAACATGATTTGTAATACACAGCACCGTTACCAGCAACTTTTCTTAAACCTAAATTTATCAAAACATTAGGAACATTTATATAAAGAAAGATAGCTAATGAAACATTCATCTAAAATTGCTTCATCACATTTTACAAACACTTTTTAATGCGGAAAAATATACTTTCATTCCATATTCTTTTGCTTTAGGGAAAACATTTCCATTGTAATCCTGGATGTAAATCTTGCGTATTTCTTTTAAAAGCACACAAAGATAATCGGTACTGTCGTATAACATTGAGCATATTCCAATATTTTTAAGCGTTTAAATTATGGCAGCAAACTAAATGGAGAACAGGTACATTGTCGTTGCCATCTTCAGGATATTAACTTGATTTTGATATTTAGAATTAACAGTGGACAAAAATAAGTTTAAAAAAGAAACGCATATTTTCCTGTTTATAAAGCACTTAGTTTCTGTTTTTGTTGTATTAGAGCAGATCACTCGGAACAGTTCTATACAGAATAAATAACTTGCTGGAAAGTTAAGTAGAATAAGTTGGGTCCAAAGTGGGCTTGTTGCTAGAATTAAAAGAAAAAATGCATTTAAAACGTGACATATATCACATAAAAATACAATGTATGTAAAAAACAAGTATTTCTGCGTCAGTTATATAGTACATGGGTTAGAAACATTTTTTATTAATCACAATATGTCACTTATGCCATTATACATGTTATTAAAAAGCAAAAACTTGATATTATTAACAAACGTGCTTATTATTTTAAATCGCTGAATTTGTTAAGCATTTTACAAATTTATTAAGTTCTAAACGAGCATTTAAAATCTTATGTTTTGCCAAATGGCAACTTCCTGAGAACTGGTTGTGCGCGAGTTGCGTAAAGGATAAACATCTTGTGTTTCGCATCTCTAGCACCTTGCTCTTGTTAAAAATTCAAAATAGACTTCTTTAACAAGTTCTTTGCGTATAAAAAAATTTTAGCTATGCCTATTTTAATAATTTTTTTTATCAAATCGTGGTAAATGTTGCGACAAACTTCTGGGGCAGGTAGAGCACATCATAAGGATTAAGAATTGCATAGGAACTCATGCTCAGAAACGTCACTGTACACTGCCAGGGGGTGCTGTACAGGAGAGAGTTAGTGGAAAATGAGGATTGCCTCATTCGAGTGGTAGGAACCATACAAAGAGCATGGAATGCTATGGAGAGCTTGTAGACAATGCACTTAGTGTATGGAATAGCTGAGGGTAATGGACGAGCCGCTGCCCGCATTTATCGAGAAGTCTTCCCCGACAGACATCAACCATACATCAGTTTGTTTCCACGTCTGCATCAAAATTTGTGCGACTACGGGAGTATTTGTGCTGGGGAGCCATCAAAAGTGCCCTATATCGCGATCCTGTTTTGTCTGAAATGGATCTCATGGCAAGTCTCGGCTATGAAGCTATTACAATCAAAGAAACTCCCGGTGTGTTTGAACATGTCCGGCAATCAATAGTCCATCGGTGTCAGGCATGTTTGGCGTCTGATGGTGCAAACTTCGAGCATCTATTGTAACAGTCAAGCTGTCGTACACCATTTGTATTCATGTCCAATAAATGTTTCAAATTAATCACTCTCTTGTTTCTTTCCCATCCTCTACCTCTGCTACTACTTACCCCTGACATTTCTGGGCATGGGTTCCTATGCAACTCTTAGTCCTTATGATGTACCCTACCGTCCCCAGAAGCTTGCCGCAATATTTACGGGACACCCTGTATTTGCTCTAAAAAATAATCATTAAACATAGTTACAAACGGGTTTTGTTTTTGTTATGGTGGGCATTTTGCAATGATCGTTTTGAGAACGGATTCGAACCATTGGTCCTTTAGCGATTTGACGGTAAAATACTGTATTCTCACAGAAATTTCACCTCGGTTTCTACTATTGTAGGAGAATTCCTCAAGCACAAATTTTAAAACGAGTTTAAGACAAAAATTATCATCCTGTATCTATAAATGCTATTGGAATACAGCAAAAAGAACACATATGAGAAAGGTGACCTTGGAAACTGAATATGTCATGCGTATGATTGCTTGTATAATTGTTCTGTGCGTGGCTAACAAAGTTTGACGTATTCTGAAACTTTGGCGATTTCTAATAAGGTGGTTGCGATAATACTTAAATACCGATAAAACAGTAGTTCTTTAGTACAGCGGATCTTAACTATTGATAAAACGTAGTATTTAACATTAATTCCAATAAAGCGACACTGCAAGAAATAGAAGAGCTGATCCTATTTCCATTAAGTTTAAATCATTCTTTGTAAGGGTATTTGTATGACTTTTGGTAATTATAGCGCAACAAACCCGCAATCTTTTAATGCGGAAGGGAGTGAGAAAGAAATGTATTGAGATTATTTGAGTGGAACTTAAAGTCAAACAAAAATTAGTCTGTCAATTAATTAAGCGAGAATGTATCGTTTATGGTACATATTGTTTTCGCATAAAGTAAACCTCTTCTATTGCTTTATATTAAATACAATATAATAATTCATATTTTCGGGTTAAAATATTTATACTATAAATTTTTAATATAATGAATAAATTTACAAATGATAAAAATACAGCTCTTGATCTATTTTTCTGGAAAAACTAGGTACAATAATGTTTTGTTTGAGATAAGTAAAAAGTATTTCACAAGAGACTTGCATTTAACGATTTCCTCTTAATTGCTCTTAATCTCTCATAACTTCTCAATAATTTAACATCTTTGAAAATGCATCTTTTGCATTTTATGGTATACTTAGTAGACAGCAAGAAATTTAGCAGGTGTACATGTGAAGTAAGAAACTGTCTTTCGGTTAACATGTAATGACAAGTAAAATAGATAAGTAAATGAAGAAATAAATAAAAATAGATAAAATTTGATAGTAATAGTTAAGTGCCATAAATTTTAAGAAGTCTAAATAACCAAGATTAACTGTATATGCCACAGCAACTTTAGAAACAATTTAATGAAACATGAGTTTTAATTTTGATGAGCAAATGGTATCACTGTTTACAGCAGAAGATATGACATGGTAGATCAAATTTAAGTTCATTATTTTCAATTATAAATAAAGCCAAAAAGAAGCAGAATTGGTGCTTACCTCATGGCACATTCTGTGTTTCCAAACTGTTCTCCTTTGTCCATGCTCAGACATCCAGCTCCACCACCAAATCCATAACCCTTGGGTCCGAATTTTCGGCCATAGCACTGTTTGCAGTACAACAGGCCATCGTGTTCTGTTGCGTTGGTGCTGTCTAACCTCTTATGGCAAAGTCCTGCAAAAATTCAGCAAATTTATTCAGCAAATGAGACAAATAACTGAACTCATTATATAAATTCTATTCGAAAATAATTAGTTGATATGGAATTTATTGTTTAGTTACTGTAAGAAAGCAATTAGTTGACACTGACATCTAGAAGTGTAGTTTGACAACAGTTAAATGACATTAAATATGTTCTGCATCTATTGGTTGACAGTTAACTAAATTTTATTTTACAACTGCTGCTTTACAACAATTAACTTATCCTAAATTTGTCCTGTAACTGTTATTCACAATTTAAACTTATTTTGCAGATGCTGTTCGAAAGCAGTTGAATAATATTGATCTTATTCTGTAAATATTAAACGAGTAAAAATTTGTGCTAGATTTTAATATAATGAATAAATTTACAAATGACAAAAATACAGCTCTTGATCTTTTTTTCTGAAAAAACTAGGTGCGATAATGTTTTGTTTGAGATAAATAAAAAGTATTTCACAAGAGGTTTTCATTTAACGATTTCTATACTCTTGTTTATTCGACAATTAAATAATACTATCCTCATTTTGTAAATATTATTTGACAAATATTTTAAACTAAGCACATTTTGCAAATATTGTTTGCCAATAATTAGTGACACTGCTTATCTCGAAAAAAATTTTATAATAAGTAATTACACAAACTCATAGTCGTTTCGTTCACGATAATCCCTAATTTTGTCATAATATTATTAGTTACTTTGTAGGCAATATTTGCGAATCTATTTCCTTTTTTTGTTTACTTCTAACTATATAATTCGTATGAATTTTTTTGACTTAATTATGCTTCATTTGATGTAAGCAGCACTGCGTTGATATACTAAACAAGCTGATTAATTAAATATAATAAAGCATTTTTTAAAAATATTTATTTTTATTAATTATATATTTTAATAATGAATGAATTTAATCTCTGGGATTAGAAACGCTAAATAAATAATTAAGGGCGGGAATAAGACAAATAAAGTAAAATAAAAATTTAAAAAAAAAAAGAAAATCCGAAAGGTTTCAGATTTTAAATTACTTCCAAAGGGGCGTTTTTTAACATTTTATGTGCTACCTTTATTTATTAAATATCATGTTTTCGCGCTTAAACCATAAAATTCAGTTCAAGAGCAATATCGCAAAATAATTTTAAATTGAGCGTATCTTTAGAATTTCCGTGACGCGCTGGAGATAAAAATATTTTTTTATGTACAATGATGCCATTGCTCGCTTTGAAATCCTTGAGTTTGTTAATCAAAAATTCGTTAAAGGTTTACAAAATATGAAATCGATAATAAAACAAATTCCAAAGTTAGGCTTCCACATGCCGATATTCATAGGAGGATTACGTCGTTCAAAATTCCATGGCTCTAGGTGCTGTTGTTTTATCACAATGCGAGAAACATACACACATTTACGCAGATTCTTCATTATTTAATTTCTTTAAATTTATTACAGGGCGATAATATTTGGTGGCAACAGTTTGAAAAGTGAAACGGACATTCAGAGCGATTCGAAGCAAAATCGTATGCATTTTTAACTAAATTAAAAACCAAATTTTTTAACTAAATTAAAAACATTTTCCTGCATATTTGTCAAAGATACCTATAAAAAAGCTGCAAATAAAAAATTCAAATTTATGTTTATTTTTTAACTGAAATGTAAAGGTGTGTGTCTGCAAGAAGTTTCTATTGACCAAACTTGTAACTCAAATGTTTTGACAGCTAAATATCGATATTTTCAGACTAGCATTTAGTGAAATGATTCTAATATATTGAAGTAACCTCTAAATAACTTACTTAAAAGAAGTAGCATATGAACACTTCGCAGGAGGAAGAAAGCTTGAGAATAAATAAATATCTTTATTACATTTTCCTATGATGAATGCAGGAGAAAAAATATTTTTACGCAAATAATTATAAACTTCTTTGTTTCTTACTACAGATTTCAGCTTACAAAATTTCGATTTTTATCAAGTTAATAACCTTGAAGGGAATTAACAGAAATGTATTTTCATTCACTAATTGCGGATACTCATCGCCTGTTTGGTTCTTTTCGTAGACTCATTAATTTTTAACTACAGAAAAAACTATTCACATGTAAATATACTCCCAAACAAAGAAATTATTCTTATTGCAAAATTTCGCAACTGGCTGCATCTGTCTTTTGCTAAACACTAAGAAAGGTTAATCAAATTTAATTAATTTAGATAATGATATAAGTCTTCGAACAAGATTTATAGCATTATCTAAATTAATTATCTCCATTTTCAGATTTTCCCGGGTGTTACTAAAGTTTGTTTTCGGTAACGAAAGTGATGTGAAATTGGACTTAAATCAAATAGTTGAAATCTTAAAATCTTTCTTCAAATCTTTGTCATAATAATGTTAATTAATTTACGGGAAATGTATTCGCAGGCTGCATAAAATTGCTTCGGAGGCTGCCAGTCTGAGACAACTGAGATGGGGCATTATATTCATCAATCACGTTCGAGCCATGACTTGCAATTTTAGCTAATGGTAGATTAATTGCAATTTGCGCTTATTCATGTCCTTCAATTAATATTGTATAAACGCTAAAGTTACCGAAGACGGCTTAGACAGTCAGCATGGCACGGTGAAAAATAATTCCTATTTTTATTTTTCATTAACTCATGCTCATATTCATACATAATAAGTTACATAACATGATATTTATTAAGTACTACTAAAGTGCCGAGGAAAAAGATTAATTATTTAATTCGATGAAGTAATTTTTACTCTACTTTGATACATAAATTTACAGAAATAAAGTACATAATAAAAAGACTTAAAAAAAATATCCTCATTTTTATCTGTCAAATATTTTTTAAAGGAGAATAGTTTATTGTTTCGTTCATTAATCATCACTGTTTAACGAAAGATATGTATTTGAAATTTAAAAATTTAAAACACAGACGACATGAAAGCATGTAAAAATAATTCACTAATTCTAATCTTTGCATAGCAGAAATAAAATAAAAATAATTTAAGTTTAAATTTAGATATATAGTTTCAAGGTATTTTGCATTGGCAAATAAATAGAAAGTGGTAACCGATTAAAGATCATTATTCGGTGGCAAGTACCGAACTAAAAGTACTTCTGAATCTTCTTATCTTTCATATAATCCCCGAGAACTTGCGCTGTTAAAATATGTTGTAGCCAAATAATACCATGTACAAGATAAGATTCATAATCAAATAGAAAAGAAGTAACAAAGTATATGAAATATAAAATTAGGTAAAATTTTACGTATTTCGGGATTGACTGAAATAAATCTTTTCTTTTCAAAAAGCAATAAAGTATTTTGATTAATTGACAAAACTGTACAAAATAATTTTTACACAATATATTTTAGATAAAGTGATTATAGATACTTCATTCTTACGTATTTGACACGAACAGAAAAAATAATTCTTTCGAACTTTTATGTGTTTTCTCCTAAACAGCTTTGAGTAAGTTTTATTACCACTTTGGATTCAATTCTTAAAAGTGCGTTAGAGTAATTGCCTGTTATCCGAAAACTAAGTATCGGAATGCTGGATTATCCGAACTTGTTATAATTTAGTTAGGCAGATGTCGTTCAAGATTCAAAGGAAATAACCGGAAATAAGATAAGGCTTAATAAATGAAATTTTGCCTTCTCTTTTATCTTGTATATCTTGCTCGATAATTTAATTTGTAGATGTGTAAGAGCATTATTATTCTTGTATTTACGTATCCTTCTTACTAGACTTGTTTTCTTATGCAGTCTGTTTCAGTCTGTGGGCCAGAATAAAATAAGTTCCCGTTTTTTTTTGTTTTTTTTTTTAATTTTATATTTCTCTAATGATGTTTAAAATCCACTTAAAATGCTGTTGTGTTATGCTGATTGTGCTCACAATTAAAGAAAATAATTAATTAAAGATTATTAAATTAAATTAAAGAAGAAATTTATATCAATGGAGTAAGAAACCAAAAACGCAAGAGCATTAGCTGTGAATTACTATGTAAAAAGCTCAATAAATACTTGCGCTTATTTTTTTTACCAGAATTACACATTTTGTTACTTTTCTTTGCTCAAAAATGAAATTACTCTGAAAACAATTTTCTGTGTAATTAAAATAATGAATGCAGGGTTATAGGGGGAAAGACAGTTTTATCAAAATAATCATTATTTAAATATAAAAACTGAGTATCCGAACCTAAGTTGCCCCTTTATTTTGGATAACAGAAGCTTTTTTTCATCGGTATTAGCATTTGATAATATATATTTTCATGGTCATACTTACCGCACTTAAAGCAAGTTTTGTGCCATTTGGCTCCAGCAGCCAACATTTCCTCTGCAGCATAGACGGATTTTCCGCATTTGGGGCATTTAGCCTGTTCTACGGGTGTGAAAGGCATCTTTCACCTGCAAAGACAAACACTACTTTAAATGTGAGAAAGAGAAGGAATATTTTTTAAGGGTGGGAGGCTGATTCATCGAAAACGTATGTGGTTTGGAGCCAAGTTTATTTTTGTACCACTCAATTTTTTTTCTTGCCCCATACTCAATCGCGTGTTTCGAACGCCGTGGCTTTTGAGCCGTAAATATCAGCAACATGTCGTTCTAGACAGCGCGTAAACGATTCTCTTTGGCTCCCCCGCTGCCACCACGAACGTGCTTAATTTCTCTCTTTACGACAGAACGACCCAGAAACGTCATTCAAAGTCGTTTCTGTAAGCTGAGTCACGAAGCATTCTTTTATTCTATACCGTTAATGGAAAAGTTTTTAAGCTTAACATTTGCTTTTTAACCGATTAATTTTGATATTAGAAACGTCTGTAGTGGAATGTTTCAGCAATTTCCATGAACTTTACGTTACATGGTTACTTTATATTACGTTACTTAATGCTTCATTACGTTATATTATTATGCATTTATCATTCTTACGGTTCCCCGAGTGTTGCCTGAATAGAAGATTTTTAATCTATCTTTCGCACACTCTCACGAGTAGTCATGTCTCAGTATATTGCCTTTCGGCAAAGCTTAAAATCCCTAATTTACTTCCCAGATTTTACCAATTTTTGATCGTTTTACAAATTGAGCTATTTAAAATAAAAGTACTGAACGTATTTTTTTTTAAATTTAAATCTTCAATTTTTTATTAACATAGCCAACACATTTAATCTATAATGCAACGAATGGGACATTTTTATAAGCATTTGCAATTACTTAAACTCGGGCAAGAATCGTTAGTTTGTCATTAAAGACACAAAAGAAAGAATATTTTCTGCGTTCCGTAAAAATTATAATTTTTATCAGAGAAAGCAGTAGAAAACTTATCTGATTATATAAAAGTATATTTAAAATAATAAGAATAAATTAGAGACTAATATATATACATAAAAATAACACATCACAAAATGTTTATGCAATGAAAAAATTTTTAACACATATTTAAAACAAGTATATTTAAGATAATGTTTACTTCTTGTTAGTGTTCATAATCAAGACAAATAAATCCAGAGGAGATTGAATTTCGGTGAGTCTATGAAAATAAGAATTTTCCGTTAATCTCTTTTATAATTAATTTTCATTATTCGATAATGCCTAAATATTGCGCTTGGGTTTTCCCGGTGAATTATTACGATAAATCTTCTTTATTCTATTTCTTGCTTCTACAACTTTGAAATCTGTAATAAAATTCTCTGTAATAAAATTTGAAATCTGTAATGAATATAAATTCTCACAACTTGAAGCGCTGTACGCAGAACATTACTTTTCAGACAGAACATATTAAAATACTTTAGTAGAATCTCGATTGTCAGAGGTAACTATAACCACCTAATAGAAAACAGACCTCGAATAGTGGAAAAGAGTATAAGTCATAAAAAACTTCAGTCTAACCTAACGAATTGTAAATAAACAAATAAGGAACAATATCAAAAAAAAAAAAAAAAAAAAAAAAAAAAAGTTCAATTTCTTTTTTTACTTCTTTTATGAGTCATTATCTTTTTCAAGTTTGAGTAAATACGTAAATAAGGTTGTATTTATTGTCTTATTAATCTATGAGCCGCGTTCGAGAACGCCTGGTTTTGATCAACAAAAGGTCTACAGCAGAAGCACTAGTATAAATCTGTAAAACTGTAGAACTTTGCTCAAGTTTCATCTCCTTCCGCATGTCTAATTTTCACATATGTTTCGCTTTCACCTTCATCCTCAGTACCCCTCTTATCATTGAAACTTCTGTGGTGATGTACCTCCAATTCTACGGTTGAACGAACACTGAATCTCCAGTTCTACGGTGCAAAAATGTTTTTGATACTCAAAGATTGAAAACTTAAAATTTTTTCCCTCTGTTTATCCACTTCGAAATGCTATTTTAAGAGATGCCTTCGCGACTTTTAATCTTTTATTGATTGCAAATTAATTGTCAGTTGACATCTGGATTTTATTTTTGTTTTCGTCTTTTTCCTCTTTTTTCCACATTTTAACCAAAAAAACAAGTGATTGGATTTCCCTTCACAAATTTCCAGACTTGAGGCCATATGTAAATCGTATTTTTAACCATACATGCATCAATGCTGTTTGAATATAATTTTCATTGTTTAAAATATAGAAAAATGAGTTCTCTTTCCTTGTGAAATTAGTTTATTGCTTCAAGTATGCTTTCATTCATCGGCGGTGTGATATAAATGACATTAATGGACTGGCAGAGAATTTCCAGTAATTTTCTGGAAGAGACTGGGCCTAATACACTTCCTGATTAAAAGCAAGAGTGTTATCCACTATCAGTAGCATAACTACAAAACAAAAGTCAATCTCGATCTTTACCTTTTTTATCTTCATTCCAGTATCCTTTCTTGTATACTTATAATAACATATGGGACAATAGAAATATCGTTAAAAGATTTATCAGTGATGAGAAAGGCTAAAAGATGAATCTCTAATAATAGAATTCGCGAATGTTACTGATTTTTACGGTGCACTTTCTAATGCTACTACATTTCTTCAATGATTTCTTTAAATTGATTTCTATTTGTTTATTAAACTGATTGCTATTCGGAAACCGTATTTGATAAAGGTCCAGATAACAGAGGTTCTACTGTATTTTTCTCTTTCTTTGAATAATAATATATTGCATATTCTGTTTTTATAGAATTGGAATTTTGTTGCTCTTAACTTTGAAAGTAATTATTATAACCCATCAAATTCTATAAAATAAGATCCCATCAAATTATGTAAAATATCAAATAAAATTTATTTAAATATTTTACAATTAATTAAACTGCTGCATAAATTATATTTTGAACAAAAGCTAACAAAGAGATAACATATACTATTTAGCAAAACGATTTAGCTCATTAAAGAAAAGCTTTTAAATCCCAACTATTTTTCTAACAGGAATATTACAAATGTTTCTAATGAACTAAAAGGTTATAATGTGTTACAGATTCGTAACGTACCATGATCTCTGTTTTTCAGCGCCATCCATAATCTAAAATTACAAACTAGTCAAAAAATTAAATAAATAAACAAATAAATAAAATAAAAAAAAAATCTGAAATGTTTCAGATTTTAAATTACGTCCAAAGGGGCGTTTTTTAACATTTTGTGTGTTACCTTCTTTATTAAATATCAGTTCTCGCACTTAAACCATAAGATCCAGTGCAACAGCAATATCGCAAATAGTTTTAAAACGAGCATATCTTTAGAATTTCCGATACAGAGACTCACGCGCTGGAGATAAAAATGTTTTTTCTGCACAACGTTGCCATTGCTCGCTTTGAAATCCTTGAGTTTTTAATCAAAAAATTCGTCAAAGTTTTAAAAAATAGGAAATCGATCATAAAACAAATTTCAAATTTCAAATTTGGGTCTTCCACATGCTCATATTCGTTGGAGGATTACTTTATTCAAAATTCGATGACTCTATGGACCGTTGTTTTATCACAATACGAGAAATATACATACATTTATGCAGATTTTTCATTATTTAATTTCTTCAAAATATAATGCAGGACTAACATTTTGTGGCAACAGTTTGAAAAGTGAACCGACATTTATGAGTCCGACGCAAAATGCCAAAACGAAACTAATAGTCCTTCGAGATTCAAATCTCTTTGGACTAAAAATAAACCTTCCTCCGTATTACTAAATTTAATTGACACATAATAATCATTACATTAACTAGAATCATTTGCTAAGCCTAAATTATTGATTTTATAAGGCTATTTTTGATTTTGCTTAAAAAATTATAAGCTAAAAATAACTACAAAACTCAAATAAAAACTGATTTTCTAAAATAGTTTATGCATCCCTTGAATTAATAAATAATTAACATATTTTAGCAAACTAATATTCGTTTTGAATATAGAAAACGGGATATATGTTTTTCAGCAAAGTAATAAATGTGCGAAGAATTTTCGGAACCTATTTTAATCATTAACTTTCTCTGTGGCTCATTTTCTACATACAAATGTACCACATGTTGAAAGAAATAATTATACTCTTTGCAAGTTTAAAGTAACAACTTCTGTTTAACAGAGTCCTTTATTAATTTCTTAAAGCTTTTCGGTAGGAATTTGCAAATTCTGAGTTTAGGCATAATTAATAGATTTTAATCATTCCTAAAATTGATTTAACAGTGTTTTCAGTATCTACAAGTATGCGAACACAATAACTGACCTATGAGAGTGCAAGCATTCTTGTAAATTTTGCTTACTTAAAGTGATATAGGAAATAATATTGAATTATAAAACATAGAAACTAATCATTTCCAGTTTTCTGAAAAATAAAAACAAAAAGTTTCCCTGTTTTTATTCTTTAGATGCAAATAGAAGAAAATAAGTGACCTCACTTCAATTTATAAAAATTAATGAACTCTGAAACAGAAAAGGGCAACTTTCACTTACTCTAAATGCAGGCTCGATATAATGGCTAGTAAGTGTTCCGAGAAGAAATTTGCTATTGATAATTTTAGGATCGCAAAAAAAAAAAAAAAAAAAGGTTTATCATTAATAATTTTTTAAGATAAAAACATCGAAACTAAAAAAATATAAAAAAAAAACTGATGTAGAGGATTGCAGTCTGTACATGACTAGATAATGTTAAGATCCAAATTTGATTTTTTTTGTTTTCTTTTTCAATTTAAGCAGTAGAAATAAGGTTTTGCAGTTAATATAATGTACGATATAAGGAATGTATTTTACAATATAAAATAATATTTGGCTCAAAATGTTGCTGAGAAATACTGATAAAGCAGGAGATTAGTATAATATCTTATATATAATCGCTTGACATAAACTTGCTGTTGTGTAAACATTGCGAAAATGTTAAGGAATTGTTATTGCACTAATCGTATTCACTCTGTAGCACGAAGTTCATTAAAATAACAATAATTCATTTATTTCAAACATTTTTAATTA